CCCCCCTTCACAGCGCCTTGAGTATTATGTACATTGCCTGACATTCTGTGCTACCCACAATAGTTACAGTGAGACCTACAGACCCTTTCACATCTATTTAAGTCCAGGCATTGGTGACGTTACATAACACTCGAGCCCTGATGAAGTGTGGGCACCCCCGAAGCAACTCCTTGTAACATCCGGGGACACGTTGTCACTAACGTTCGGAAGTCCTTTTCCTTTCTTTTAAGTTTTTATGAACTCTTGCAGCCAGATGGACTCCGTTTACCACAAAGTGTAGCCTCGTGTTACACAGTTTTCTTATGTGCAACCTCCCACTCTAGCTCCAGTGTATGGGTCAGACCCCACAGAGGGTGTTTTGTTGGAAGCAATATCCATCTTATGTCTGTACCGCATCTTCTTCCTCCATAGAGCATCAAAGGCTGCTGGTGTTGGAGCTGCAGAAGACGTCGGGCGCCCAGAGGACTCGCCTGCTGAAGAGTTTCCCTTTAAGTCTCAATGTGAAAAGGCAGTTGAGGTAATGAGCCCTCCGTACCGGAGACGTTGGCGCGCCATGTGAAGCAGCACCCGGTGGGGGTTTCATGTTTCCGAAATCTGATTTTTGATTGGTTACCGTTCCCTTTCCTGATATCCCAAAGCACCAGACATTCTGTGTAGGCTGTGTATGATCAACGACTGTTGAGTTCAAATCTCAGCCGCATAGACGGTCCATTGTTTGTAGTCAGTCAGTCCTGACTGGTAGACTTGTATTGGGGAAGGGGAGCAGCGCAGCACTGCAAAGCTTGAAGCTAAGCCCACCAGACCGTTCATTCCAACAAAAAAATTCCCATCAGATTGGAGTGATGTCATCCCTTAAATGTGCCCCTCAACCAACCTTGAGTGGCAGCTACCTGCCTCAATACTTACCCTCAGCCCCTCTTTCGAGTTCACTGTGAGGTCCTGCCCCCCTCCACCTAAGCCCCAGCGGTATGTGCAGCTCGGCCCATTAATTACCATGGCCGGTCCGCTCATGGTGGCTCCCAGTCATCTACAGGAGTATGGCTGCCACCACAGGAATGTACGGGCAGGACAGCAGGAGCTGGATGTGGCCGGGACTTCTTTTTGCAAAGCTTAGCCATGCCAGACAGGGGTCCTCTGGAGGGGAGGCTGAGGGTAAGTATTTTGGTAGGTCGCTGCCACTCGGGTAAGGAGGGGGTCACAAAGGGCCACATCACTTATTCAGGTCGGCTTTGAACACTTTTCTGCTTTGCCTGAAGTTCTCCCCGCCAACATCTGCAATGGAGGTTCCACTTCTGGAGTCCTCGAGTCATCAGGTTCTCATCTGTGATGTCATTGTGTGTGCGGCGGCGGCTTGCTCCTAAATCCATCAGCTGTTCAATGTATTTGGGTTTTTATTTCAGGTACTTGACCTTAGACGACAGTTTCATTCGGAAGAGGAGCAGTGCCAGCCCTTGCTGCAGCAGCGTCGCAGACGGCATCGGCATGGTGAGATTGCAGTGTGGGTTCCGGCGGCAACGCAAATGAACCTCGCGGCACGCAGCCATTGGGGGCGCAGAGCTCCGTGCAGTTTGCTGTGAGTGAGAGGGGGAGCATGGCGGAAACCGGCTGCGGGTGGGATCGTTGGATGCGCAGTAATCAGACAAATCGATTTAAGTCTTTGGAATCTCGCCAATAGGAATGAGGTTCAGGTTTGCCGCCATCTTGGGTTCATGGCGAATCCTTTGGGGTTCCCGAATCGCGACCTTTCGGCCAAAACGTTTGCCGGTTCTGAGAAATGGGTCACAACCTATAACGGAGCGAGGTCCAGGTCAGCTGAGTCACAGCCAATTATTTGAGGGACTGGATAACTCCACCCCCTTCTATTAAAGGATGGGCTGACGGCTGTATAAATGAGAGGCTCTGGGCTCTCCGGTTCTCGGTGTCCAGTATTGGCGATGGCGGTCTCATTTATAAAGCTAAATCTCTTCGGCGCGGTTGTTCCCATACAACATAAGAACCCCCAAACTGGAGGGGAGGCCTTGTGAAAGTCAGGGGCAGCAGTGGGCGTTTGTTTGTTGTGCATCCCCATTGATTTCGGGAAAAGGGGCTCATGTAGCAAAATCTGCTACATGCGTTCCGTGTTTTTTCGAGCACGCTTTAATGCGCGCGAACATACTGGACAGTAACATTTTTATGGCCGCATTTGGAGTGCACGTTGACGCGTTTGGTGAATGTGCGTCAAACGCGCATTTTTGTTCTGTTTGCCGCATGTTCATGGAACAGGAGGGTGCCGACGGGGAAGTTTTGGGGGGATATAGAAGATTATTGGTGGTTACCCCTTTTT